TTTTGGTAAATAAAATAAATAAAAATGTTTGTTGTCTTTATTTTTTTGTGTATTCACTGTATTGTATTGAACAAAATGGTTATGCGGCCCGCGCTCGTCATTCTCTCAGTTATCTGGCCCGCTGTGAAAAAAGTTTGGTGACCCCTGATCTAGACAGCGGCCTGTCTTAAATACTTAAAAAAGGGGTGAAGACCTTTCTTGTCTGCACCCTTAAATGGTGGGAAAGAATCTGTTTAACCTCACTCGTAAGAACCTGTAAAGAATAAAAATATTTTTCATTGACTGTTGGCCAATATTAAGTTGGAATGTCCTAAACATTCAAAAGTAAAGTGCTGTGGACATACTTAAAGTTTCTACACTTGGACGAACATTAGATCTCTGTTATTTGGCGCAGAATTGTTGGTTACCAAAAGCATCCCCATTGGCTCTACACGACCACGATTTGTCTTTCACCCTTGGTGGCAGTATATCTACCAACACAAAGAGGTTTACAGCTGCCTCATGGATCATCAACTTCACCATTTAGTACACACTGTCTAACATACTGGTGAAGCAGCTCATTCTGGCAGACTTAATCTCCAGCAGCACCTCTTGTCTCTTTTAGCTAGTCTTGGGCGGCCTTGCTCAGAACTGGGGTTGGTTACTATGGTCAGCGAAAATCTGGGGGTCCTTTCACTTCTGCTGGGCCTAGCATGGTCAAGTGGTTAGGGCACTTGACTTGCAATCTGAGGATCGTGGATTCTAATACCCGTCCCACCAAACATGCTCGCCCTTTCAGCCGTGGGGGTGTTATAATGTGACGAGTAATCCCACTATTCGTTGGTAAAAGAGTAGTCCAAGAGTTAGCAGTGGGTGGTGATGACTAGCTGCCTTTCCTCTAGTCTTTCACTACTAAATTAGGGACGGCTAGTGCAGATAGCCCTCATGTAGCGAGGGTATCCAACTGATAAAGCAGTACATTATAATATTTATAAGTAGGAACGTAAGAAAAGCATATATGATTAGCCATACTAACTACTAGATTTATTTGTAATTTCGCGCTAAGTAGTTAACTTTCTCTGATTGAAAGTTAATATTAATTATTATACTTGACTTTCCTTTCACTCATAAAAAATATTGTGATTGTCTATAATCTTGTATCCAGTCTTTTTTTATCTAATGGCTCAGTCAAAGGTAGAAAAAATACAAATCCTGCTTTGTAATAGAATATTTGAAAAAAATCCTCCTGTTTTTACGCTTCCTGGAAGTTACTCTGGGGGGTAATCAGGGCAAATTAAGAATACCACAATCTCTAGTAATTACATGGTACGCCTGCATATCACAATTATAAGTATCAATTAACGAGGAATCAATACATCGTAGACCACGCACTTTTTTCTTTCAGTATTTTCTGTTGTTATAATTGTGTTTAGCTTGGTTTTGAGAAGGGATAAATTGAACTTATGCACGATCTGAGAGTTATAATTGCTGCAAATGATAAAATGTAAAAAATAAAAAGGATGCTTAGAATTATAGAAATCTTACTACTTTTTTTCTGTATTTGGTTGCAAAGATGATGTTAGAGGGAGTAGGGGCATTTCAATCCTATAGGTCGTTAAGGGGCCCCTAAATTATAATATAAATTTCAACAAGTGTATAACGTTATGCAATGTTAAGCTGTGGAAAATGCGGTTGTATATCCCTTCTTACGTCTGCTGAGTTATTTCGCTAACTGGCACATGACCTGCCATGTTTAAAATAACACTGTATCCAGGTTCTCAAAATACATACTCCTCTCTCTCACATGCCTTCAACATTTTGACCTTAGGACCGTTCTTGTTTGTTCATTAAAAAAATAAAAATAAAATGGAGATATATGTTGCCACGACTTAAATAACGATACAGTAGTAAAAGTGAAGCTTTTATTTGTTTCAGCACGTAAAGCTACAAAACGGGCCATTCGCGTTTTGTCCACTGCGGGGAATATACACCCTGGATTGAGGCATTGTAAGACCCTAAATTTATCACTGACTCACCAGGGGATGAAAGGACATCTCAAATCTTCTTGACAATCTGTAGGTTTACAACCATCGGTGAAATAAAATATTATCTTGTATATATAGGCCGTGTTCCTTTACGGGCATTAACAGTATTATTATTATTTTCAATAGTAATTTTTCATTAGAATACCTTAATTCCTAATACCCAATTTTTATTATAAATTTAAAATACCTCTTTTATCAAATCAGAAATATGATGGTAATGATTTGTTTTCATTTCGTTTTGCGTTTCATAAACTATTTATTCGATATATAGTGTACTGTACAGGTAGTACTAGAAGGTGGTTTGGCGTCTAATACAAAATAAATAAGAGTGTGAAAAGGGCTAAGACGAAATAAAGTGTTGATTAGAACAACACTATGATTAATTATCGTGAGTTAAAAAAAGGTTAAAGGAAAGTTTGAAACTCATGAATATTTTAAATTATTATTGGAGTAAGGTAAATTTTATTATTTTGCTTTTATTGTTGTTGCATAATATTAATTTCCGAGATGACGAGAATTCTAATTATTTTTCTATGGCTTTTTAGGCATGAGTTTCATCTTTATATTAGTTTACCTCTTATGATAGGGATATTGATTAATTTTAATGGATTGAGGAATGTATACTCTCTAAATACAGAAGGTATAAACGCTGAAAACATAATCCAAGCTCAGTTTGGAAATAAAAATCAATTAATGGAAGGACAAAAACAGTATGAAATTATTACGAGCAAGTTACCTCAGTATGGAGAGTGTTGGAAGAGGGCAGTAGAAGATCTTCATAAAGGCTGTAAGGAACTAACTGACGATATTCAAAGTCGTGTGGCTCTTAAATTTACAAATTGTTTTTTACAGAAGTTAGGAATGAAAACATATCCTTGCAGTAATGAAATTGAAGTTAGTGAATGTATTCACGATATTAATGACAAGGCATTTGCATCATACACAGAGTTTTTTACACATACCCAAAGTATATGTTTTTTTCTTCAAAGTCAAGTTTGGCAAGAACAAACAGAAACTGTCATTTCAAAGTTGTCAGTAAATTCTGCTCGGGTCAGCCATCAACTTAAAGTGGCAGGTGAAACACAAGAACAACTACTGCAACTACAAAGACTTTCTCTCAATAATCAAAATAAACTTGCCAAAAGTGGAGAAGGATTGAGTTTAGAGTTGGAGCGCTCTCGAGATAATGTTCGGATTCTTTTTGAAGAGTTCAGATCATCAACCAATGAACAGCGTATGATGATCTTTGAGGTATTTGAACGTGTGTCTAAACTGCAATCATTTGTTCTAGGTGAATTTTCTGGGTTTTACTCTTTGGTTTTTTATTTAGTTGCAGCTTTTGTGTCATATTTGTTAACATCCACATCTCGCACCAGTGAAGCAAGGTTTTGGCTGTTTGCTCTTTTTACTGCAAACATTCTCATTGAGAGACTACTTACTCAGTATAGTCTTGAAGCTGAAGCTAAACAAAATAAACTCTTGGAAGCAGATGTAAGTTAATTTTTTGATGTTTTGCTAATATTAAATGCTTATAAAATAGGTTTTGATTTATAATGAGCATAATAATCAATCGTGTATCAAAAATTAATTATTCTCAAGAACTGGATAAATTATATTTGTAATAAACAATTACAAACATAATGATAACTATAGTTTTGCTTTGAAAAAATGTAAACCAATATATTAAGAGAGTATGGGTTTTATTTTATTTTTTTACACTTGTCATTAACTTCATAAGCTCATTGTCAGAAGATGTCAAGACACGACAAATAGGTAAACATTTGATTATAATTACTTATGTATGTATATGGATAGGTGGATTTAGAAAGTAAATTAAATCCCCTTTACAAAAGTATAACATGGGACAACTTGGTCCTTTTGGGCTATCCTTCCACATCCACCTTTCAGAGAAGTGAAAATTTAAACCCATCCTTTATTTTTCAGGAAATCAGTGATTCCTCTCTTAAACTCCAGCAATGAGTGAGCTGGCTTACCCCATTACCCATGGTAACTCGTACCATAAGTCAAGCACTGTATTTTAAAAATAAAACTGTCTTGATATGAACTTAGCCTGTCTTTTCTAAGTCTTTAATTTGTGTCCTCTTGTCCTATTATACTTGGAATATAGCACAAAGAAGTCAAAGCCTTTATTGTATTGATTCCCTGGATAATCTTATAAACTTTAGAAAAATCTTCTCCTTTCTTTTCTCAAAATATAATAAAAAACCTTAACCCATCCCCATCACATAATGTCTTCATCACTGGAATCTCCCAAGTATCCCTACTCTGAACCGTTTTCATTATATCAGTATTGTTTCTTAGATGAGGAAACCAAAACTGTACTATTCTAAGTGAGGTCTAACTAGTGATTTTTATTAAGAGATAATTGCCTCATTTCACCAGTAATCAATGTCTATAAATGCACCCTACATTTTTTTTTAGCTTTGCCACTGGCAACAGAGAACTGTTTCAGTGCCTTAAGTGATATATCCACATCAATGCTGAGGTCCTTTTCTCCATTTATACCATTGAGCAGGTTTCCATCTTTATCAAGTGTGTGATTCAAATTTTTGTAATCCAAATGCATTACCTTGCACTTACTATAATTAAAGGTTACATGCCAAATATTTGTCCAATTAATTGATTGATTGAATTCCTATAATAACCTCAACATCTGCAATACAACTACAAATACTTCTAATGTGATCAGCAAACTATACTGATTTATGAATTATACCCGTATCAATATTGTTAATGGAAATTAGACAAATCAAAGGCATTCCAACAGTAACAAGAGTCCAGTTTGACTGTACTCCATTAATAACCTTTGCTTTGCCCATCCAGCCATCCTTCAATCCAATTAACTAGTCCTTCTCCAGCCCCTAAAGATGCAATTTTTTTTTAAGGCTAATCTTATGTGTATGGCACTTTATCAAATTTAAATACACCAACTCCACACCCTTTCTTTTGGGGGGAAAAAAAAAGATTTGTAATACAAGATTTCCTTTTGGTGGATTCATATTATTATTTTTTCTTTTATGTTAATAAAGAGGCATGAACTTAATATTAAAGTTTCACTTAAATAGTGGGAACACTTTTGCAACAATAAAGTTTGCTGTTCATTCAAAAAATGATCCAGTTAAAAAAAACAATAAGTAGAAACAAGACTAGAGATAAAAAACAACAACACATCCTCATAATAATGCACAAATGATTAAAGAATTAAGAATAATTAAACAATAAACTAGAGGTTCTTGCCTGATCTATCTGAAACCACATCTATATGCATCTAGCAGTAAGAGACTTCCATGCCAGACACCCTATACAGGATGCTGGTGAATGTACTAGTGACAAAAGTTTACATTCTGGCCTCCATATAGTTGTGGTATATAAACATATCACACATTTTTTAGTGTTTTTTAGTAATCGATTCCTTTTTCAGAAACTGTAATCTAATTAATATATTCAGCCCCAAAACTCAGGAGCCAGGTGTGCCTAACCTAACTTCACTACTGTTTGTACCGGGAAATTGGGGCTACATATATTTATTCACTTTCACAGCAATGAGTGCATGCTAACAATCACATGATATCAACAACCACTTAATACTATTGCCTGAACAAACTGCCTTTGGTCTCGTCTGAGTCTAAACAGGGGCACTGATTGGTTGAATTGAGAGAAAGAAGGAAAACAAAATGGCAGGAAATTAGTAACGTGTTGTGCAGCTGCAGCGATTCATTCCTGAAAAATCTGAAGTGCTGAACCCACCATTAAAATCCTAGAAACAAAGTTCGAGTTCTATTTAGCACAATTCTACGCACGAATAAAATGTGAGAAAGTACTAGGCACCATGTTTAAATTTTTAGTCGCCATGGTGACCTGGTGCCGGAATTTGTTGAGGCTTGTATTAAACATTTTGGAATCTTCAGAATTTCATCTTCAGTAAGCTAGAGTTACAGAACAAACATAATAGTAGTTACACCAGAATGATATAATTTGTAATAAAAAATTTGAATACAAAAAAGAACAGCTACATACTTTTCATTTTCTCTTGTTGTTCTTTTTTTTTTGTAACTTATAGAAAATTCTGCATGAAATGTTGCTAAAGGCCTATGTTAAATTATCTATTATTAATGTTTAAAACATAGAGTAAAAGGTTTTATAATTGTTTAAGTTAAATTTTGTTTCTCTAAAGGTTAATTTTTTTCAACAGGGTCCTGTTTATTGGCACATCTGCCTATGTCGGAAGATAGTGTGTGGCTTGGCAGTAGCTATTTTAAGCTGGTTTGCTTATAAGTTCCAAGATTATGCAATTATAAATAATCAACTTTTAACAGAAATACAACAGCAAAACAAAGAACTAAAGAACTATCTGGAAAACATGGGTAAAATGCTTTATTATAACTTTGAAAGACTTTCATACTGTTATCCATAAGTCATAACTGAATAAAGGAAAGATTATACTAAAGATATGTATTTAAAAAGCAATATAATTAAACAGTAAATATATGAAGATCTTTGACGCCAGTCATCTCTATACTAGGAGATCTTTGACACCAGAGTTAGCTCTAAATTTAGAGATAAGGTATATATTATTTGTCATGAGACTCGGCTTTGTACTTGGAGATAAGGTATATCTTATTTGTCATGAGAGTCAGCTCTGTACTTGGAGATAAGGTATAT